ATTATTATCTGTATCTCTCTAAAAAAAGAGTGGCAGACAGGTTGTTTCTTTCTCCCATCTCACTATATGGATCATAACTGCCATGTACAGTAAATCAAAACTACATGCTATTTTTGAGCCCTTACTATCTTACAGCCAAAACCATGTCAAAGTATGTGGATATAAAAGTGGTCGACTATGCATTTTGGTGGAACACTTTGCTTTTCTGGTATTTTTGTGCAATTAAATACATGTTTCTCCTGCTACTACCCCGTGTAGTCTGCACTTATCCCCGACTAAACCCTGTGGCTTCTGCAAAATAAGACCTTAAAGACATTATGAAGAACAGAGCAGGCTGAACAGAAGATGGCTTGAATAGCACATATCCTCACCACCTAAAAGGTTTTCTTTGTCTTCTGTAAAATGAAACAAAAAAAAAATAAAAGCAGATAGGTTTTTTTCCCCCTCATATTCTGACCCCATTTCCCCCCACACCATCAGTATCCCATGCACTCGGTTTATTTTTTCAGGTGGCAGTATTGCTCACAGATGCTTTTTATTAGGCTCCCAGAATCACCTCTGCTTTAATCTTGTATCAGAGAAATGGTTCTCAAACTTTGCCGGGAGAACGTTTTTCAGAGCTTCCCTTGAGCTCAACATAACTACAGCATTGTAAGTCAAATTAAACCATCTTTAATCTAAATGTTTGTTTGGTGATATCTCTCCTCGAAAATTAAATACAATTATCTCCTTTCCACTCATCACTTCTACTGGATGATGTGTCATTTGATTAGTTGGGAGTGAATTGATTTGTGTAAAAAAAAACATCTCTTGAAATGTTGAAACATCAATGCTAATTTGTAAAACTAATAATGAAAACTGAGCTACCTTTGTAATATATACTGTATTAAATCAAATATATATGTTTTTCATATATTGCCCGCATAACAGTATACTTAATTATTGTTATTTTTTATTATTTTTATTTATTTATTTATTAAATAGTTTTTTTGTAAAAATGAGTTAAACCAAACAAACATTTTAAGACAGTTTCAGTTTAATGGGTGCATACACACTTCACAAATACATGCTGAATTTGTTAATCTTCAGTTACAACAACTTCTACAAACACTCTGTTTCAACAATCGACTAAACATTCATCATCAAGGTAAACTGTTACGACGTATACAGTATGCAGTCCTAAAAATGTATACAATAGGTAGATTTTTTTAGTGAATGGACCTTCACAGAAGGTATGTAATGTGGAAAAAGCAYCTAAATGTGTTGAAAATACACAACCAGAGACAAAGTACCAGATAAATATTACAGTACAGTTAAAAAAAGAAGATAAAAATCAAAAATTACTACTGAGATCAAACACATAGCTAGCTACAGTCATGCAACAGAAATGATAACACATTTTGTCGATAAGACGTACACTTTGTTGTTGAAGTGCCTTTTTAAAGTCAGATATGTTTTCTCTACGGGGAAAATATGACAAGAGGCAGCCGTACAAATCTGTCCACCAGAGCATCTCTGTGAATTATCTGTGTTTAAATAAATAACATTCGAAAGTGCACATACTACTTCTGACACCAAACCATACAATTTACGCCCTGTTCATGCACACATTACCAACAACGCAGTGTTTTTTGTGGCTTATATCTTAATTCAAATCAATAGTTCAGCTTATATTTACAGCCCAAAAGGAATATTTATAGATAAGAGAAATCCCACACAGAAAGATACTTTTGCAATGAAATATGAATATGAATCTTATTATAACCTTCATATAATAGCAGCAAAGAACGTTGTCTAAACACATWTCTATTCAAAGGGATAGCTTTTCTGGTGAGGGATGAAGAAGAGCAAGTTGTATTTGTTTAAAATTAAGCAAAAAGAGTCTAATATAGGTAAAAATGACTAATTCTGTCTCAAGTATTAGTCTATTAAGGTTTTGTTTGATATATTTAGCACCCTTTCTTGATAATAATAAAAATCTGATCCCCACCACAGATCCTTGACACAGTTTCAGACCTAATTGCAGGTTTTCTGGGTTGTTTAAAATTATAAGGTGCTTATAGTATTTTTTTGATTTGTTTGATTTTGCTGCGACAAAGCTGCACAAACTACAAATAAAGTTGAGTTATCTATATCTGATTTCCAGCAGTGTATTTGCCAAATTTAACACAGGAGACATTCGGAACATTCAGGAGACTTGGGAGGTTTGGGCAGACAGAGGGGTTGGTCCAAGTAGCCACAGCTGGAGTCATCTCATCTGCTTCAAGGTCTACAAAGAGATATTGAGGAGTTTTACTTTCCCAGGTCCTTGTATACGCTCTGCAGCTGTTTGACACAAAATTTGAGACATGCTTCCCCCTTGTGGATGATCTGAAAATCCTTACTATTCAGGTCATGTGTCCAAACTTACCTTAGCTATCAGTAAGGGGCACACATGATGATCTACGTGATCTGCACATAGTTTTCTGTGAATAAGACCAAAAAAAAGGCAAAACGTTAAATAAATAGTATCTCAGGCTGCTCTGTTGCTAGTTTTCTTAAAGGGGCATATAAAATAAACTTTTTTGAGTTTTATATCATGTTGTCCTACTCTCATAAAAAAACATGCCCAAAGCCTGGCTCTGACTCATGCATGCATGTTTGAGAAATCCTGCAGCRTTTTTAGGCAGCCATGCTGAGGAGCAAAACGACAGGTGGAGACCAGAAACACCTTTTGGGACCAGAAACGCCCCTGGGACGTGTCTTTAAGCCAAACTTCCTCATGGCCGAGCACCCCCCTCCCCCTCCCTCCCCACATGCCCCGCCCATGACTCCTGCAGGCTCTTGGGTGAAAGTAAAAGTGAAACTTAAACTGTCTGCATAGCTCCTAACATTAGTTCTCACTCAGTGAAGCTCTTTTCTGATGAAAAATACATTTGAGGAAATGTATTTTCAGATGCCAAGTAAACTGCATCTTGGCAGCCCCACCCCCTCCCCCTCGCGAGCCCGAACCTGCCCCCCGCACTGAAATGGGCAAAACGGAAGCGGACGTGGTTCTTAAAGAGACAGAGGCCAATTTCAAGGCCTTTGGAAGAGGAAGTGATGAGAAGATAAGTTTATTTTCAATTTAAACATAAAAACAGCATTTTAATAACAGCTAAATGTGACATAGATACTTTATTATGGTATAGTATTTAAATGTATTGACCCTTTAAGATAAGCTCCAGATTTCACTTATTGTAGTAGCCTATTTACAATGATGTAAACTGGTACAGAAATTTGTTTTGGCAAAAACTCAAAATGTTTCTGAAAGTACTCAAGATTTTTTTATTGTTTTCAAGTATATTTTTTCAAGTATATTTGTTCATCTTTTTTCACAAACGGTGTGTTCTACCTTTGTATAAAGACGGTGATGAAGAGCAGGGTCAGAAAGCCAAGGATGCCTCAGCGCCTCGCACGCTCCCATCCTCCAACTGATGACAAACACACAAAAAATTTTGATTTTACGTTCTTATCGTCTAAGATTTTACCAACAGCTCAGACTTTAGAGACAGAAACAAAAATCAGACACCATTTATTTGCAACGAGGAGTCTCCGTATAAAATCTTTGGCTTCTTCCGACGTGTCTACAAACTCTTGTTCCTCTAAGTTCCACTGACAGGCCAAAATGTTGTTCAGAGTCTCGTTCTCATTGTCGCCAAGGAAGGGACACAGACCACTCAGACTAATGGGAGAAGAAGAAAAAAAAAACATTGGCAAAAATTGATGCACAATTAACATGCATGTGKGTTTTTACTTACAGCATGTAGGTAATAACGCCAAGGCTCCACATATCRGTGTTGAAGGATACATAATCAAAGGTGACGACCTCTGGAGCAAGAAACTCCGGCGTTCCAAAATTGATCTTCAACTTCTCCCTCGGTTTATAACTAAAAGTTGAATTAATGCACACAAAGGTTTTCAAGATAATTGCAAACAATAAAAGAGAAATAAAACAAGAACAAATAACAGTACTTACATCCTGGCAAGCCCAAAGTCAATGATTTTAATTTTATTTGTGATTCTGCTCACACACAAAATGTTCTCTGGCTGTAAAACAAGATTATTTCAATGTTCAAAAAAAAAGTTCAAATAAGAAGAGTAATAATMGTTCAGTCTTCGATCTATGTTATAGTTACCTTTAAGTCCAGATGAAGTACAGACATTTTGTGCATGTACTGCAGGCCCTCACAGATCTGCCTCATGAACACCACAGCATCCAGCTCCATTAACGTGTAGTTTTCATCAATAATCCTGTCAAACAGCTCCCCTCCTCCAACACTAATAACACAGACAAATAAACCAAATATGTTACAAAACAACCAGAATTCTACACATTTTTATTTTATAGTAATTACTTATTTTCTAGGCACATTTGAAACAATTAAATAAAATGTGCCATTATATCAACTACTAAAATTGTGGCTGAACTAACTGGTGTTGATCAAGTTTAAGAAATTGAAGGAAAGAAACCAACTAATCAGATTTAAAAAGAATCAACGTGTGCTAAGAATTTTTAAAAAAAGAAGAAAAAAGAAGAAAAGGGGATCATACTATTCAAGTACAAGGATGATGTCATTTCTGGACTCATAAGCTGCATAGAGCTGGATCAGGTTGGCATGATCCAGATGATTCATGACCTGGATCTCATTTTTCACCACGTCCTATCAAGAACACGGGCCCAGAAAAATGCAGAGGCAGACAAAAACGCACAAGAGACACAAAGACATGCAAGCAAACACACACAGACACAGACACACACACACACAAACACACACACACACACACAAACACACACACACACACACACACACAGAAACAGACAGAATGAAAGGTGTCAGTTGTCTGCTATCAGAGAGTTTGCATCTTCTCTTCTAGGTCAGTAACTTGTCACCTTGGTGAGAAGTATTCAGTTCACCTCGCTGTTCCAACACTGGCCTCGGAGCGTTCTAGTGAGTTCTAAAAACTCAAGCTGGGCCCATGCTTTCCATATCATGTGTGACTTAGTTCTCATGGTAGGGATTTAAAGATATATCTCAGGTTCTGTACCTTTTCTTTTTGATTCCGAGCTTTAATGACCTTTGCTGCCAAAGTGAGGCCTGAGGAGTTTTCAACACATTTGTGTACCTGGCCAAAACGACCCCTGAGAGAGAGGAACAGACAAGAATTTCACTGTTAGTGCGAATCGTGCATCATAGTCGTGTCAAAGCAATTACAGCAGTGGTCCTTTTTTTTCCRTCACAAATCTTCCTTCAAACAGGGATGCTTCTGGAAAGTGATGTGCTTAATTTGTTATTTCAATAAATCTGAGCTGTCCCTGCCTCTCTTCTTTGAAGACCAGGATTAACACTTAGTGATAAGCTACCAGCTGGCTCCAAGGATACAGTTTCACATGCCAGTCAGTCCGAAAGTAAAAATAACTGCCGTGACTCTGAAGTTATGGATCATTGAGGAAAGGGAACGGAAAAAATAAAACTGATGCAGGTGTGGAGAGGTGGGTCGCATAAAGCTTAATAGAATAAGAATAATAAAAACTATTTTCATTTGGTTTATATTCACTTAGCAAAAATAAATAAATAAAAAAGGCAGCACTCACCCGCCAAGGACCTCCTGCCAGTTGATGGTGTAAAAGTTTCGGATCTGGTTTGGCTTAGCCGACACAATGCGATGATTAAAAGGAGCTGCCGGAGGAGGAGCTGCGTCTGAAGTCGGAACGACAGACAAGAATGCGTGAACATGCAAGTTTCACTGCTGTGAGGCCTTTTTAAAGTGGACTGACATGGTCGAGTTAGGATATAATATACTGCATAAATGTGATGTAATGGACTATGTGTTAAAGAGGAGAGGGCACCATGTAGGTCATCTTGTTTAGGGACCCTGTGTTTGAAGGGCAAAGGTCCTTAAAAAGATCTGAGTTCAAGTCTCAAGTTCACTGCGCTTTACTGCATTCATTGCTATTGTGATCAGTTTATTTCTGTTTGCCAAAGACATTTCTGMAAATTACTTATTAGACTTCATCTATTGTGCTTAATACATTTTAAAATGCATCAAATTAGAACAAATAAATTAGTTCTGCTTTCATTTTTTTATCTTTACTTTGTTTTATTGTTTTAGTTCTGGAAATAAAAAGCTTTTTTTGTTGTTGTTTTGTTTAAAGTGTTTCTAAATTGCTTATGTTATTGAACGCTTTTACTTAAAATATTATTTTTGTTAATTATTTAGATATAAAAAAATGTTCAAATTAGAGTAGCCAAAAGACATTGTTGCTCAAAGCAGCATCAAGGTGTTTCATTGCAGACAATGATGCGATCGTTTAAACATTCCTACATTCAAATGATCTAAAAGCAAATGAGCTAACGTTTTGTACCTGCATTACCCTCTTTACTGACAAAAAACTCACCAATAAAAAACTTTTCAATGTCATCATCATCTTCCTCCTGTGTTTGCTCTCCGTTGTCTGCGTTCTCTATTCTTTCTTTGAGGTTAAGCTGCATTTCCACTCCATCTGCCCTGAAGATGGCCCAGTCCTCCATTTGTGGCTTCTGCTCATCTTCCTCATTGTCATCTTTCTCCTCCTCCACTGCTTTGTCCTCCTGGTTCTCCTGGTCTGCACATGGTGTTGCATCTTTCTGCTCTTCACTGTGAATTCAGGTAAGTGGAATTGACATGAAATAGCATAGGTGTCTGTAACATAACTAGTATTTATGCTAAACCAGGAATAAGGAAAATGTTTATGCTACATATGTTTTAATGTTTAATGCATTATGCTGGCTGGGAGAAAAACACATCAGTGCATAATAGGCATTTGATCTGTGCTGACTTTACGTTTTGACAGTTTACTTAATAAAACATCAACACAACTACTACTACTACTACTACTACTACTASTACTASTACTACTARTAATAATAATAATAATAATAATAATAATAATAATAATAATAATTAAAGCTAAGGCCTCTGCCTTAGCTTTAGTTCTCTTAATTCGTGCTTATGTGCACCATTACACCAGAGCAAATTCCTAGTCTGTAACTCGTTTAGTGACAATGTCAATAAAGTGTTTCTGATTCTGATTCTGATTCTGATAATAAGGCACGTGTATTATAGTTGCAAGTCATTCTAAATTATACCAGCCATAAATTAACAAAATATTCTTTATGGTTTTGCCTTTGCCACAACTTCTAAGTCAGCTTTCTGATTAACTTTATTTTATCTGCAATGTGCCTGTTACTATCTCTGCTGCAGAGGAAAGATTTAAACACAATTATACCTKATGGGAGTCACTTCTTTTTCATCTCTGTGGGAAGCGGAGACCTCTGGGACTTGAGCTAATGCTCCAGCAGCTATGAYAGTTTCTGCCTGCGTTTCCTCAGGGACTTCAAGCTTTTCTTCTCCTTCTTTCTTTCCCACTGCTCTTTCTTCTGCAGGCTCAGGTTTTTTGTCTGATACCACTGATTTTTCTTTGGGCTTCTCATCCTTAATCTGCTCCTCACTAACTGCCTCTTTAACCTCATGTTTCTTGACCTCAGCATTTTGGGAATCTTCATGCAAGTAGTCCACCAGGCTGCGAGAAGGGACCTCCATTTGTTGATCTTTGGGGGGCGCTCCAGCCTCCAGATCCAGAGAAGAAAGCTGGTGATCTGTTTTTGCTGCATTTTCTCTGTTTAGTTTCTGCACCTCTTCAAGAAGCAAGGCCTGCTTTTTTAGGGAAATGTTATCTACAGGGGGAAAAAACAAAGAAGTAATTACTAGGCTTGCACTGCTTTAAAAAAAGGATCATCAGAGCTCTTTCAATTTCATGACGCTGACGAATACAAACATTCTGAACTTGTTTTCAACATCATAGCACATGCAAACAGAAATCAGTTAGTTTACATGCTTCTAAACTTGTGTGCCATTAAAAAAAACTGCAATTAAAGCCCGACAGTTTTTAAAGAAAAAAACATGTTCAGCTGATTTCAATACCTGCAGCATCTGGAGGTTTCATCTTCTTTTGAGCTTTAAGACTCTTCTGGCTCAAATCAAGCTCATCTGACCCATCTTTGCCTTTGGGATCTTTCAGCTGTGAAATACAAGATGAAAACAGTGAAACCAGTAAGCTTGAAAATATGTGTGTACCCTTTAAGAAGTTTTATTCACTAAAAATGTTGCTGATTGATGTAGGATTTATCGTGATCTGAAACAAACATTCCAGCTCAGTCCCTCAAACWAAAAAAACTGTTTTCTTCTTTCCCTTTTTCTTAAGTAACTCTGCTGTGGTGACTACAATGACTCTTGGCATTCAATCTTATTTTTGTTAGTGAAGTCACAGCAACAATAGTCACTATAAAGACAGTGTTTAGCCTCATAGCGTGAAGAGCGAGGCAKCACAGACAGAAACAGAAACGGCCAGCAAAGGCAGAAAATGTAAAAGCACACTCACAAAGACAACATAAATAAGAAGACAAGTTCTAGTATACAGTTTATAAGCACAGTAAACCTACAAAGTTTCCACATTTACGGGATGCGAGGAAATGCTTTGGTCCGTGGAGCTTTATCTTGTGAGGCGGCTGCAGAGAACTGGCCTCACATGCAGGATTTACCTCCTGTTTTCCTTTATTGGCTTTGTTAAAGGTAGTTTTCTAATAAAAAAGACAAGATGGAAAGGCTTACTGTATAATAGTATAAATGAAAGGCATGTTTAAATTAAATTTGAGTCACYGACATTACAAGCAACTTGGTGAAAATTATAAAAGATACAAAACATGATAGACATACTGCACATTTATTTGCAAAAAAAATTGAGTTAGAATTTCACTAAATGACAAAGAGTGTGCTGCAAAGGACAAATCCTTACAAAATGTGCTCATTTATTGCGCGTCACCATGCAGATATCTGCTTATGCAACGGCATGCCTCTGCTTATTCGTGGCTGACGGATCGGCGGCAGCGGGACAGTGAATTTATAGCTTATCACTTGTCGCTCTCAGTGGCAGCATGTAATGCTGACCCTCTATGGAAAATATTACAAGGACTGGAGGTTGTTGTTCTGAGCTGAGTCAAAGATACTCGCTAAACGCACACCGATCAGGTTCTGATGGAAAAAAAACTGAGATGACGCACACTCGCATATGAATGTCGTTGTGGTGTAAACAGTGAAAGGCAAGTTTTCAGCTCGATGATTACCCCAGAGACAGCAGGGGAGGGTTAGATCTCTGATTGGGAGACTGGGGAGCATGTGTAGAACAGAGAAGAATTGCATGCTGAAAATTTCCCACCTCTGAAGCTAAAGTAGGATGGAACAATGCCCTATCCTGAGTCATGAAACACTCAGATTGAAGGACGATCATCAATAATTAGGAAGCATCCAGATCAGTTATAACGAAACTAAATTGAATCAAGATAATTTACTCTAATTCAAGGTATAAATATGGGGTGCCGTTTGTAAAATTACACAGTCAAAAAAATTACTACCAATATTTTTGTTTTATTTAACCTTTTATAAGAAAAAAAGAACAATTTATGTTTCAAAGTCAGTTTTTCACCATATGATTCATACATTTATAAATGTCATAGTTTATAAACTAAATATTTTACTTACAAWTTAAATRTTTAGTTAACAAGCTAAATATTTAACTTGTGACTTAAATATTTAGTTTTGAGCTAAATATTTAGCTTGCATCTTAAATATTTAGCTAGCCACCTAACTATTTAACTTAAATATTTAGCTAGCTACCTAAATATTTAGGATGCAAGTTAAATATTTAACTAGCTACCTAAATGTTTAACTTAAATATTTAGCTAGCTAGGTAGCTACTATATATAAAGGCATCTAGCTAAATATTTAAGTTAAATGTTTAGGTAGCTAGCTAAATATTTAAGATGCAAGCTAAACATTAAGCTCAAAACTAAATATTTAAGATGCAAGCTAAACATTAAGCTCAAAACTAAATATTTAAGATGCAAGCTAAACATTAAGCTCAAAACATTTAAGTCACAAGTTAAATATTTAGCTTGTTAACTAAATATTTAATTTGTAAGTTAAATATTTAGCTTGTTAACTAAATATTTAATTTGTAAGTTAAATATTTAGTTGATAAACTATGGCATTTATAAATGTATGAATCACATGGTGAAAACTGACTTTGAAAAAGAAAGATGTTCTTTTTTTCTTATAAAAGGCTAAATAAAACAAAAATATTGGTGGTAACTTTTGACTGTGTAACTTTACAAACGGCACCCCATATATAAAGACCATAGAACAGTGTTGTCACCAACTTTCTGATCAGTCAGATCTTTACTTTCAGGTCTAACTTGAAAGAAAAACAAACCCTCTGCAGCCATGCAAGTGACAGGAGTGTTAAAATGTCTCTGCTGCCAAGTAGAACTTACTGACCTTTTCCAGAGAGCCATCACAATTTACCTAATGATTGAATATTAAAGACAGAGAACTAAGATCAGATTTGTAGGTACCTTCAGTACCACATTAATTGCTGTGCATTTGAACATGTCAAACCTGTAAATTTATGGCATTAACATGTGTTTATGAGCGCTCAAAACTTTTTGACAGCCATTGATCTCTCTGTGTGTTTTATAACTTTTTGTTAACTTAGAATCACTTCGCATTAACTTCAGGCAATGTCCACTATGTCCAGCCATTTGAAGTTGAACAGGTTCCCCTTACTGGCGAAGCAATAACAGGAACCCTGGGACAAGGTAAGACTAGTAGTGCTTGCTCAACCCGCCCACCGAAATATGAGTAAGTGAGAGAAACAGAGATCAAATGAAAAATGGAGGGAAATTTCACTCATCAGAAATTGTTGACACGTTGTAAGCTGAAAAGGGGGTTAAAACCCCACAAATTCTGGAGACCCCCAAAAATAAAAAATAAAAAAATAGAAAACAATCCTACTCTTATTTCACCCTCATACTGGCTGCCGTGTGTGGATGCCAGCAGTTGAACCCCAAGCCTCGTGCCAAGGAGGCCACGTTGCATCCACCACAGGAAGACAGCCAAGAGCAGTAAACGTGAGTTAAATTGAGACTTTATACAAATTCCAGTTTTACTGTTCAGTAGCAACACATCTAAGAGTTAGGTTTCTTAATTCCATCTCCAAAATGTTGTTGTCAAATATACATGCCAAAGTCTGTCGGGGTGGTGGATCATTTTCTCCACATTCACTTTATATATTGCAAAGAAAGATGCATCCATGTGCAGCAAAGGTTTCTGTGATCGTTTACACGTTCTGCCAAAAACAACAAGATACCAATATCTAAGATGCCAAAGTCAATTTGAAAAAGAGGATGCACTGAATAAGCAACACAGACAAATACAAGATGATGAGTGAACAGGCCAAATTTAGATACATTAAAATCATAAATGCACACTTGAGTAACAAAAAAATTAAATAAAAATTCACGCAATTTTTTTTCAAATAGTCTCACCTTGTCAAGTGTTTTAGTAATTGTATCCATGGATGATTTCCTCTTAGTCGTTTGTTTTCCTTTGTTGTCTTTAGATTTGGCTTTCCGAGCGGCTGGGCCTTTGAACATCCTCTTTATAACCTTTGAACTTTTTACAGTCTCCCCAATGAAGCTGATGACCTGCTGCATGCTTAGGACCAGTTTCTCCATCCCCTCCAGCTTTTGAGCCTGCTGCTCGGACCGCTTGTTCACCACCAGCATTATGGTGCTCATCTCCTGGCAGATCTCCCTCACCTCACGCCCCACCACCTGGGTCTGATTCACCACCTTGGGTGGGAGATGGATCTCTTCCTTATCAACCATCAAATGCTCCATATCCTGTTCGATATCATCAATTTCCTGAGACATTCCGTCAAGTCGACTGAGGACCTTTTCTTGAATGTTGATGAGCTTGTCCATCTTGTTGCTCAGTGAATCGATGCGGTTTTGAATGAGGTCAAAACCTGCATTATTACAATCTCCTATTGCATCTATTACCAAGGAACTCATAGCTTCCAGTGATWAAAAAATTCACGTAAAGACACCACCTTGTGTTAAAATTGGTACAAAAAGTGTCTGTGAAACAGACAAAAAAGCTTTGAGAAAAATAATTGCCAGGTCTACTGAACAGAGAAGAAACGTGATTGAAAATAAATCCAACAAAATATTCTAGATCCTGATCTCAGATAATCTGACCTCTGAATAACATAAAGTCAACTCTCTGCTCTTCTCTGATCCAGTATTAAGAATAGAGTGAGCCGGTGCACCTAAATGTAAATGGTCGGCCTGCGTCAGCGGGGTTCAAGTGTATGAGGTGGGGGCTTGGCAGTGGTTRGGTTATGAGACATTTGAGAGCCTTTAAGGGCTGAGCCCATCTCCATCACTTGCTTGCTAGGTGTGAAAATGATCACTATACACAGTACTTCTTGAGTTGGACAAGTAGGGAAATTCTCAATGACCTGTTCTAGTCCTCTTATGCAATTCACAACAAAATTAACTTGTAATAGGTGGTCACAAAGGTGGTCACAAAATAAGTAACGTGATCGACAYGTCTGAAAATAAACCATGTTCCAGTAAAAAAAAAAAAAACACCATTTGTGAATTCTAAACAGAGATAATATTTTTAAATTATTCCTTTTTTAATTTAATGTCAGATGGGTTAAAGACTGTTCTTGATGATGCCCATGTACAGCATATGATTGTGTGTGTTTGTGTGGGCGGGGATTGGACAGCTGTGACTGAGAGACTAGATACAATCTAAATTCCTTCATTGTCTCTCAAATGCTTGAAACATTCAGTGCTTGTAAAAACAAGAGAACGCCTGTTGGCTGAGGGGTGCTACAGTAAGACATTTAGCCTTCCCACTGAAAGAAGAGAYGCATGACACAGATGATTTATATCCTGCTTACTCACTGTCAAAAACATCCTCCRATAACCTCCCTCAAGAGAGTAAGGGATCAATTTTAACTGAGTTTGTGTAATATGACCTTCACCTATGTTCCATAAAAATTAAAATAGTGGATTATTCAAAGAGTAGATATCTGTGCCAACTAGTTTAAATAAACATCTATGTTTTTGAAAACTTCATTAAGATCTCTTTCAAGTTTAGTTCACACAAGCTGATTGCCAAAATTGAGGGGGAATCCAAAAGTGCTATAAGCCACTGCAATGCTTCAAACAGCAGCACGGATCTTAAATCTGTACGCAGTGACCCAAACCGAAATCACCTCACATGAATGACCTCATTCCAGAGTCCTGGCTCATGAGTGTCCCAACCAGTGAAGCAAGAGAAGGTGAGCAAATGGAAGAAATTCATCTGCCAGGTCAGATTAACTAACTCACAACACCAGGTTGCACATTAATCTATCTCCTGTGTGGACAAGAACCAAACTGTGTTGACCAAAAAAAGAACCAGTGCCTATGACAGGGCAGAAAGAGATGGAAGAGAATCCAATCATCAGTCACTCGGAGAGGGAGAGACACGCTTACACCTGTCTCTGGATGCCAACAGCTGACGGACGATGTAGGTCACTTGCAGCATGTTGTGAAATTTCAGGTGGCCTGCGTGATCAAGAGTGTGTATGGAAAACATTGCACAAATATTTATATTTATATGTTTATTAAAATTATATATAATGTATCCTGATGCATCTCAGTAATCCAGGTAAAAAAGAAAAAAGAAAAAAAATTGTATAGGTCTTCTGGACGGGTTCTTCTCTTGGAGGAGAGACGAAACGTTTCATCAGAGAAGAACCCGTCCAGAAGACCTATACAATTTTTTTCTTTTTTATATATAATGTATGTGTACTAATTTAAAAGAAAATGGTTCAGGCTGTTGCCCTGATGCCTCTCAGTGATCCAGGTAGAAAAAAATCAAAAAGAAAAAATAAGTAGGTCCTCTGGATGSGTTCTTCTTTAGTGAAACGTTTCGTCTCTCCTCCAAGAGACTTCTTCAGTCTGATGAGTTTCAGGTGAACTCAGCCTTATAAGCACTGCCTCCACATGGTGGACAAACAGGTTAGTCACATGAAAAAGAGGGCCATCAACCTAACAACAGGCTTTTGCATGTGACTAACCTGTTTGTCCACCATGTGGAGGCAGTGCTTACAAGGCTGAGTTCACCTGAAACTCATCAGACTGAAGAAGTCTCTTGGCAGAGAGACAAAACGTTTCACTAAAGAAGAACCCGTCCAGAGGACGTACTTATTTTTTCTTTTTGGTCCATGCTGTTGTTCTATAGTTCCGTTACATCTTTCATTGTTGAACCCTGCAGTAGTTATAAGTTCCTGGAGAAACTATGATAGGACTTACCACATGAGATTCATTTAAAATTCACAATTCATTTTTACTATTTGTAGAAAATCACCGTTATCTACCACCATCCCAAATTTTGTCCTAGWATGTCTAAAAATGGCTGAGATATGGTCAATTTTAGGTTTTAGCTATGGCASCCATCTTGGAATWTGGATTTAGCTTCAGTAAGCGAAGGGGATTGTTCTTAGCTAACACCACACAAAATGTCAACCCAATTTATCTTAAAATGTCTGAATTATTGCAGTTTCAGATTAATTCTTGCAGCCACCTTGAATTTTGATTTAGCATTCAGAATTTGCTTTGCAATGCATCCCTCCGCTCTCCTATTCATTTGAATTKGCAAGCCCTAAAACAGGCTTTGAATCGCTGAGGTTTATCACATAAAGCAAATATCAAAGTGAAGACAAAGAAAGTAACGGCATTGAGACTGACGGAAAAAGTCCTGTCCCTGTCTCAGCCTCTCTGCCAAAAGCAAGTGTGTGTACACAAAAGGTGTCAGCTGACAAATCTCTGCCCTCTCTACTGGTGCGTGATTCAATGTTGTTTAGTTAATGTGAGAGCAAAACCATTTGGATGCTCAGAGAGCCTATCTAAAATGATCTTTTTTTCCATACCTGTGTGCCCTTTTAGCAACTCATGACTTAGACAATAAGAAGTGCAACGTTCATTTTCATAAAACATCCTATAGGGATAAACAGCTTTTTCTGTACAAGAGATTTATTTGGAATTTCAGATCTGCAGATATGGAATTGATTTCGACTGCAAACAATTTAGACCAATTTTTACACATCATTTGGCAGGTCGACACATGCCTTAATTAATAGATCGCTCGCTGCAACTTYAACTGGTTGAATAGCTATTAGCATATTTTAGATTAGTTTAAATGAATGAACACCTAGATGTGTTTTTGTAAATTAACAGCTCCTTTGAAACCTAATCACACCATGCAGTACTGGATGCTACTGACCAAATAAAGTAAAGAAATAAGTGTGTATTTTCTCCTATAAGCAAAAAGCAATAAAATCAAATATACAAGTGCTGCCCTTTAATGTAAACATGTTTAATTCTTATTTATACCCTCAACATTGTGACTTAAATGACCCGTGTCCGAGCATTTGTCTGGCACAGAGACAGCAGCTGTTAAAACTGGAGCACCCCCCCCTCCCTGACTGGGAACACAATGTCCCGGGGAGCACAGGGAGACATGTGCTGTCTAGTGAGTGTCCAGTCACCTCTGCTGTCTCCGCTGCACACTTCATACCAGCCGACAGCTCAGGCTACATTTTCCCTCGGAAACTTCTGGGCTGAAAGTGTGTGGCAGCTAAACCCAGTTCCTTGTACCAGTGTCTGAGAAATGTCCTCTATCTCTTCCCCTGCCCTCTCAGGTTATAACTTGGCATCTGGGCACAGTTTGTGGCTGAACTTTGACGTACTTCTTAGTATTGTCCAAACTCATATTGGACGACATACTTCCACTAACACTTCAATTTTATAAGAACACAGGTTGCAAAGGCAATTTAGAGGTCACAGTAGTGCCTTTAGAAATATTCTAGCCAATCTACAGCAGCAGACTGGTCATGAGACTTACATACCGGTAAATAAGTTATACATTTTAGGGACTTTTATCAATCATTTCTCAGTTAAGAAATAATTTCAATAAATTTCAGTCATGGATGCAAGTTTTTACTTCTGTCATTGGTGGCATTGTTCATCTGCAAAATAAATTATGGAGCTCATTAAGAAAATTGAAATCACAAACATGCTGTAAGACAATTTCTTCTTCAAAGCAAACAACTGATGTTTACATTTATTCAAATCAGTTTTGAAAGAACCAGTTGATACAACTTGGTGAAGAAAATTTAGCACTTCGTTTCTTAGAGGGCATTAATCACCCCTTTTCATGATGAGTTCTGGTCGTACTTAAGTTTGTAGCCTGTAATGAGGGGCTAAATTTTAAAGTAAAATATCCTTTTTTATGTTTTGAATGTAACAAAATAAAAGTTGCAATTAAGAAAAACATACTTGGTGAAAAGATACTTATGTACTGTTAAAAAAAAGTCAATGCACTTTAAACATTTCAAGAATGATTTCACAGAGATATTGCACTTTTTTCTTTTTTTGCATGATAAGCTTCAGATATATCAAGTGTGCACAGACGTCCTGTTATTGTCAGTGGGGTAATGTAAGAAGACCATTACGTAAAAGATGCCATAAAGGGTGTTAAAATCGGTGTCAAAATGCACAAAAGCTTAGTTGCATACTTGTGGCTCTCTCATTGTAAATGTCAGTGTGGCTCACACAAATGCCAAGAGAGGAATGGAAATAAGAGAGGGTGAGAGGGTTGCAGCAGTCTCTGAGGTATACTATCACAGCATTAAATATGACTACACAGCATGTGTTATAATCAGCAGTATGTGTAACTGTGATTGTAAATGCACATGTCCCAAGCAGCTATACAAAGGGTTCACCAGTTCTGATGGAAACAAAATATAAGTTGCTGCTGATATTCAAAATCGCACCTCAAAAATCATTGTTGCTTTGACTTTTAACGGTTTCAGATTTGATTAAAAGGTAATCAGGTCACATGTGTAGCCACAAAAGGTTTTCTGCTCAGCAGCCACTAGATGGCAGCAAATAACAGCATTATCTTGATCTTTTTTTTTTTTTTTTTTTTTTTACTGTCAATAAAAAGATCAACCACTAGGTTCAGTGCTCAACAGCTGCAGCCAACACGCCACAAGACATGCTTCCTTTAACACCATCATCTCTTATCCCCTGATTTATCCTTCCTGCTTTGATGCATTACATGACAAAACACATCATCATCATAAAGTCTCACAAAGAATCTCATTACCGCTGAGACAAAAATCCATCTCCGGCTGACTTTTACTAATTCAATCAAACGTGATATTTAGATGGATGGTGTAATAACACAGAATGAAGAAGCATTTTAGGTAGACAAATTATTGCTTTTTATTTGAGCTGTGCAGAAAAGTGTTTTATAGGTTTCTTGAGAAAGCATCTGCGCTTTACAGTTGTGGCAAATCCTAGGAGTTAAAAGTTTGTTTTTTTTTTTGTCTTTGTTCTTTTTTTAATTTTAGGATTTGTCAYATCAGGACTGTGAATTGACACCAGCATCTTAGATTAGTGGCACATTTGACCAACTAATCCTGGAATTCTTTACAAACACGATCAGTACAGTCAGAACTGAGCGTGTTTGTAGAGATTACAATTAACAACACAAAGAAAAGCAGTCAGTACTYGTGTTGATAGATGATTTCGAAAAGAAAAAAAATATGTATATAGTACAAAATGTAATAAAAAACAATGAAGTTTTACTTTAGCATCAATAAAAACACTAAAACAAAAAATGTGCGAAATTTAGGAAAAAACAACCATTATATAACGAATCAATATAATGATATAATAATAACATAATGAATCAATAATATTCTTGTAGAAAACATTTCCCATCAAAGAACAAAATGTTATTTATAAGTTATTAAAAAGAATAATCAGTTAGTGTCAGTTTATCTGTTTAACGCTCAACAAGAAATAATAGTATTTTATAAAAAAAGGCAACTAATTCTATTTTAAAGTTAGTTTATGCCACTTGCATGGAGTCAGTCTAGAGTTGTGATAAATCTGAAATGTGTAAAATAATTCTAACCATATTGTCCTATGAATAAGCATATTTTCCTCTAATTGYTTTTATGACAGCAGTGTGGTGCATCCTGAAATCACCACACATAAGATCCAATATAAAGAGCCTTTTTTGTATGTTTTCATTGAGATTTTTTTTTTAAGTTCAACAATTTGAAGGACTTGCAGCAGAGTTGGTGCTGTCTTCCAAAATCTGAATTRTTTTAAATTATGGCAAAGCATTAAAACAAAACTTTTGTAAACTCCACAAAATACCATCACAGACCAAACTGAAAAACTGACTGACTAGTCTAAAATATAAAAGGTTAATCATGAAAACAGAAAGTTGTGTTTCAGTGTTGTTCCATAAACCAATCTGAAAGTACCTGAATGGCAAGTGCTCGGTGCCTTTTCCTGCAGCGGAGTAAATCGCACATCCTGTGCCAGAGGTAGGAAACAAGCAGACACATGCTGTCCACCAGCCAAATGTTTCCTACTGAGACCAAATTATTCATGCCTTTCTCCTCACTTCTCATCCTTCCTCTGCAGCCTTGTTTTACCTTCTAAACAGCACTTTGGAGCTTAAGAMGAAGCAGTTCAAGTCCTCCTTCTCAGGACCGCCCAGACATTATCACTAAACTATCCTCTACAGCCCCTGGTAATTCTTTCAAATCTGCCACTCCGGCTGAAGGACGGGCAGTGTGCCCTTGTTACAAAAGAATGACAGGTGCCAGCAATGAGTGTAWAGGAAAGACAAATTCTTTCTCTCATTGCTCTGTTAATCCATCAAAAAATAAGATCACAAAATTTGTCCTTTTCTTCCTTTTCCAAAAAACTAAAATCCCAAAATAAAATAACCCACAACACAGTTTACATTAAAACCTGAGCGATATTACAAGAAGTTTCTTGTCAATACTCATGGATGGAGTAAATGAACAGATACAATACTGATCACAGAAAGTCTTCCATGAATGTCTACAATTTAGGGATGCACGATATATCGGCACTCATATCAGTATCGGTCGATATTGGACATTTTTTTAGAATATCTGTATCAGTCTGATATGTAAAACTGGGCCGATATTAACATCCAATATTGATTTCYCACTTTTTAGCTTTGTTTTTCTGTTTTGAGAGGCGAGGTGGTTGGTTGAGCGGCATCTGTTTGACCCTGATAGTGATATTTACGCTGCGTAGCCAGGAATAACTGAAGTGGGAGCCATGTCAGAGTTTTGGTGTTTATTTACGGAATCAAAAAAAAGACCCAAGTGTGTTTGTGTGTATATGTGTAATATAAATTGTGTGTTTGTGTAATATTGGTAAATATTGGTTTTCGGCCATAATAACAATAATTATATCAGATATCGATATCAGCTGAAATTTTCATATCGGTGCATCCCTACTACAATTCATTAACATTGATGTCGACCCAATTCAAGATTGAGTGGGAATCTGCAGTCWGAGGACATGGTTCTAAGCTGGAAAAAGGTGGAATGTTCCTTCAATTTCAGGGATTAGCTTTGTCTTAAGTTATRAGTTGCTGTATTTGGGAGTCTATTATGGAGCAGGAGTTGGACTGACAGATCTGGGCCTTGTCTGCAGTAATGATGACATTGCTCCAGTCTGATGTGGTGAATAAGTTATAGCTGAAAAAAAAGGTCTCAATTTATGTATCATCAGGCTATATAGATCATGATGGTAAAAATAAGAAATACCAGATACAAGCACCAGTAAGGAGCCTAACCATTATAGGGGACCAAGCAAAAAGCTTCAGTTAGGAAAAGGAGCTTTAACATCTGTGGGTAGAACCACTGCTCCTTCACATCGAAAAGAGCAAGCAGCTGCAGTGATTCAAGAATGAATCTGATTAGGGCGCCTCCCTCTGGAGGTTTCTTTTATGGGGCAAACCCAGAACTTGCTGGGGTGATCAAGTAGGAATGCCTTGGAATCCTTGATGGAGCTGGAGTGTTGCAGTGGGGATGGATGTGTCTAGGTTTCTCTCTGATTTGTTGCCTCTGTATTTGACTACAGATAAGATGCAGAAAATAAATGGATGCTTTTGTAATTTTTTTTCCAAGTCAGGTTTTTACTAAAAGCAGGAAAAATATATTATTCTGTGCCTCTGTTAAAAATGGTTTAAAATAAATGACCTTGAAAAACTTAGACACAGATAGATGTGCAGTAATAAATAGCACGGCATGAATTTGGGAAATTTGTTATTGTCAAAATATCCATTGTGATTCAAAATACTTATGAAAAAAATAACATATTTTTTAAAAAAAGAAGAAGACAAAAAGTTGCTATGAGGTCAGGTCAGTGATTCCTGCGGACCTAAATTTATGTCAGTGCTTGACACTCGTGAATTTATAAATATATATTAAACAGGTCGTTTTTTATGGTAACACAAAAAATAAATGACAAGTAATAAACACAACAAACAAGTTAAAATGCAAATATCTTTCTACATTATCATTTAATGGGAACAAGAGTGCTCAGATTTCAGACATTCTTATCAGCACCTAAACGCACACAGGAAATCCAAAGAGGAAGTCCTTTTGAAAAAATAAATAAATAAAAAACAATAATGAGCGTAAACGCAACAGTCTCGTTCATAATAGATAATTGTTCACCTGTTGTTGAATTTGGTCCCAAATGTTCAGAGAGAAAGAAAAGATAAATAGTTTGTAAAAGTTAGCAGTGAACTGGTCACGTGATTTGGGGTCAAACCTCATTTCGCGGGAGACAACATGGCGACCGAGATGCCTTCTCTCGTCCAGGAGTCTCTGCAGTGTCCCGTTTGTTTTAAAGACGTCACACCTGGGACAATTAACGCACACCTCGACGCCTGTCTTCTCCACGGTTCTACCAGCAGCAGTCCGCCAGCAGCTGCCGAGAGCGGCTCGTCTCCTCCTGTGAAGAAACCTCGCATTAGTGCGGAACCTGTCAACAAATCCGCTCCCGCCTCCTCCTCCTCCTTCTCAGGGACACAGTCCTCGATGTTTCCCATGTTTCAGTCAAACAAGGGAAAACTTAGCGTCCACAATGACAGAGTCGGTGTGTCCACCAGTAAGCAGAGTCCTGTCAGAGCTAAGGAGGCTAAACGGACAGAGGCAGAGTTTGGATCAGCGGGTATGGAAGCTCTGCAGAACCAGAAACCTCCACCTGTGCCAGATACTGGGACTTTGAAGAGGACTGGTTATGGTTTGTCCCCAAAGACATTGTTGTCGTTTGACAAACCTTTGGCTGATGTTCTGAGACCGAACACTCTGGAGGAGTACTTTGGCCAGAGTAAAGTTGTGGGCCAGCAGACACTGATCAGATCACTCATCGAGTCCCAGGAGATCCCATCTCTGATCCTGTGGGGTCCACCGGGATGTGGAAAGGTGTGCAGGTGACAGCTGAGATGACGATGATGATGATCACTTCCATTTATAATTATATTATTCAGTGCCACATAAAAATATTTCTCCTTGTGTGTAAATGTGTTCTCTGGCCATCAAAATATCTAATTCATTTACAGATCTTGAGTTAGAAATTGTTTTGTTTTGCCACTTTCCTCCAGACCACTTTAGCCCACATAATTGCCAGCAGCAGCAAGAAGAGGGGGACGGCTCGTTTCGTCACGCTGTCGGCCACCAGCGCCTCTACCAGTGACGTCCGAGAGGTGATCAAACAGGCGCAGAATGAGCTCAGACTGTGCAAGAGGAAGACCATCCTGTTCATCGACGAAATTCACCGCTTCAACAAGTCCCAGCAGGTGGGGTGTTGAGTAACGATCCATGTTTCTAATGCTAACATGTTTTACGGCTTTCCCTGATTTTAGGTGTCCGTCCTTTTTCTTTGTCAAACATGAGCAACAGCTGATTTCTGTTTTGTTTTTTTCTCTCTCATTTGTGTTTCTATCTACAGGACACCTTCCTTCCTCATGTCGAATGCGGGACGGTAACTCTGATTGGAGCGACCACTGAGAATCCATCCTTCCAGGTGAACGCTGCGCTGCTGAGCCGGTGCAGGGTTCTGGTTCTGGAGAAACTGTCTGTGGAGGCGATGGGTTTGATTTTGAACCGGGCTCTGGAAACACTTGGGATCAGAGTCTGGAGACATGGTCCATCACATCCCAAAGATCAAGCCCGCAGCAATGGACATGAGTAGGTGCTTTCCTGACTGTCATTCCTTTACATCTCCTCTCTGCCTTTTATGGTCTCATCATTCAGACCTTGTACTTGGATATCCCAAACTGTAGGCTTTAAAAATGGTGCTGCTTCATGAGCTTAATGGCAGCTATAYGCATCCATGCAGGGAATATTTTAAATATCCCACATTTCTTATCTTTTAGACCAAATATATACATTGAACAAAAAGCCTTGGACACCATTGCCTACCTCTGCGATGGTGATGCAAGGACGGGACTCAACAGTCTCCAGCTAGCTGTGCAGGCTCAGATGAAGTCGATGCATCCAAACCTTTTGACACAAGAAACATCTCGAGAGATAGTGGTGACAGAGCAGCACATCAAGGAGGGTCTCCAAAGGTCCCACATCCTTTATGATAAAGCTGGTAAGCTCAGTGCATTTGTCGGTAATACAGGAGGAGCCCTTCTTTCCCCCTTGCTTGAAATCAACCAAAATTACCTAGCAAGCCATAAAAAGAGGAGACCTAACTGAAAACGGTAGCTTTTACAGAACCAGATTTTGTCTTTTTCTTTTCTGTTTCTTATTGCAGCTTTTTAATCTTCTTTAAGGTGAGGAGCATTACAACTGTATCTCAGCGTTGCATAAATCCATGAGGGGTTCCCACGAGAGCGCGTCTCTCTACTGGCTGGGCCGCATGCTCGAGGGCGGCGAAGACCCGCTCTATGTGGCTCGCAGACTGGTCCGCTTTGCCAGTGAGGACGTAGGTATGTATTTTAATAGATGTTGTCATTTTATCTGAAAAATCAACGTTTTTTCTTGCTTCTAGAAGTATGGATATGCTTACACATCATTTTATTTACTAAAAAAAAGACAATTACACTTTTGGAGGCAGARAAAGTACACTAAAAACAATGTAAAAGTAAGAGTTAGGTTTCTTAACAAGCTTGACGTTTGTGTTCTTGTTCCTTCCAGGTTTGGCAGATCCCGCCGCCCTTCCTCAAGCTGTTTCTGCCTTCCAGGCTTGTCACTTCATTGGGATGCCTGAATGTGAAGTAAGCACACCCGACCAATAAGTAATTGTTTGTATTTGTCTTTTTCTAAGCGTATTCTCTGTGCCAGGTGATCCTAGCCCAGTGTGTTGTCTATCTTGCACGAGCACCCAAGTCGGTGGAGATCTACAAGGCCTATGCCAACGTAAAGGCCTGTCTAAGAAACCACAAAGGCCCCCTGCCTCCTGTCCCCTTGCACCTCCGAAATGCCCCCACCAGGCTGATGAAGCAGCTCGGCTACGCTAAAGGCTACAAATACAACCCAGCGTTCAGTGGTCCCGTCGAGCAGGAGTACTTACCCGAAGAGCTGCGAGAAATTGACTTCTTCACATGGACACCCTAAGACTGATGAGTGTCTCCTGTGATAACTTACTCTCACAAAACAAAGTTCCTAATTGAAAAGGGTTTTTATATTAAAAGACCGTTTTGCAGAAGTTAATGAAAAGTCACCTCAGCTGGTATAGGCATGTTCTTGTCATATAATAACTACTTCATCACTCTGACTGAATATAAACTACAATTAACTGTTAATACTTGATTAATTCAAATGCGTTTGCAAAACTTATATTGTTTACATGTTTAAAATAATTAAAATGTTAATTCTTTTATTCACTCTATCTCCTATGGTATGGTTTCAGTGAAATACACAAATGAACACAAAGTTTGTCATACAGTTTATTTAAGTTGTAATTTCTCCATTTGCGATRTTTTCCTCAATTTTGGGCCATTGTCTGCGAGAAAATTTACAACAATTAAGTTTAAACACCTGTGTGATTGATATTTGGGTTTAGTGTMGTTTCCCTCACCTCACTGATCCAGGGCGTGAAGAAGGCCACCCGGGTAAAGACGGTCGGCTTTTTAGGGGTATTACATCCACGTCCGTCCACAAAGCTCGTCACTCCTTCAACGTACCATCTGCCATCTTTGCCCACACAGTTCAGAGGGCCTCCAGAGTCCCCCTAAAAGTTTCATAGATATCCAATTTCTCAACTACATGATCATTCTGTTACATAATTATAATATGATGGTTTGTGGTTGTGTCGCACGTGGCATGCTGACTTGTTGTCTCCTCCTGCACAGACCATCGTCGTCTTTACAGAACTGCCCCACCAGTCACTTTGACTGCAGACGCTGTAATCCACCACAGGAAGCAGCGCCTGCTGCAGTGTTGTTGCCCGAGGGCCGCCGGCTGCAGAGACAATGACTCCCTGATTGAACTTAGAATATGAATATTTAATGCATCTTAGAACGATTACRTTTTAAATTACACAGTTATACCCAGCATGAACTGAAGATAAGCTGCAGGTCTTACAGTAGAGACGACCCCAGCCTGTGATGTAACAGGGCTGGTTGTGGCTCAGAGAAGCTCCATGCTGCGGCAGGCAGGCTGGCTGAACTTTATCGTTAATAACAGCACTCCTCTCTAATTTTAGCAGAGCAATATCATTCCTGCGGGACAAGACCAAATCCAACGTCAGGGATTTTGGGTCTGAATGCTTTCATTCTAACTAGAAACTTTTTTTTCTTCTGTTGTTTCATTTAAATTTTACCAAAAATATATTTTTCACCTAGTTTCCTATTCTGCTAAACAGATCCCAAAAATACAACTCACCCACAGGAAACACAGTTGTCGTTCCATTTGGGATGGATGAACATTTTTGCTACCATGATAGATTGTTCAGGTCCCTCTTCTTTGTTCATGTCATGTTCAGCGAGAACCACCCTATATGTGTGGAATCTGGATTGGAAATTGTTGAAAACGTGTATTGATTTTGAAGACAGGTCTCATTTACTGTCGTAGTAAAAAAAATAAATGCACACTATTTCAGTTTTACAGATTCTAATAAAACCCAACAGATCTAATAAGTATATGATTTTTAGATGATCAACAATGCATTTCATTACGTCAGTATTATGATCCCCGCACGCAAAGCATAAGCAGGAGTCATTGTTTTGTACTTTTTTTTTTTTTCAGTGATTTTTGGTCAACAGTAGCACAAAAACGGCTGCACCAATCGACATGAAATTTGGCAGGTCTGTAGATGAGTCCGACCTACACTGCGCTAGCCAATGGTTTTACGATAGACCCCATATTTGAGGAGGGGTCTCCTTTCAAAGTGGGGGTGTCTGGACACKCAAAAATGCTTATAACTCAGAAACTGTTCAACATAGGAGCTTCAGATTTTTTTGGTTGTTTAGCTCTGATGAAGCTCTATCCATCAGGCCCAACAATCAGCCCCTCCCCCTCCCCACTCACCCACCCAAAAAAAGAAGACCCCCACCCAAATCACTGCAATTTTGGGATGCATCTGGTAGCATGACATCTATTAGGAATAAAGACTTCTGAGTTCTGGTGCATTTCTGCGTGCGGGGCCATTATGTTACCGCTATGTGGTATCTAGTTTAATACCAAAAAAATAATAATAGCCTAATAATAATACAAAATGGAGAATTGTGTATAGAAGTAAGGTTTTCCCACGTTTTACTTTGCACAACAGGCAAATCATGCTTTTTGGTTAAGTATGGCCTTAGTGTGAAATTCTCAAAATAATTTAGATTCTTCAAGTATCTTTTTGATTTAAAGTAATCACCTATTTCTCAGAAAAATATGATAAAAACATTTTCTTACGTGATGCAGTGGGCTGCAGTTAAGACCCAGTCAGGAGCAATAAGTGTTCCTCCACAAGTGGGATAGAAAGACTCCAAAGAGACCTAAAATGTAAGCGAAATTAAAGGAATGATAATTGAGCATGTGAAGAGTATTGATGTTTAAAGGCACTTACCTGCCATGGCCAGCTGTATGGACGGGCTTCTTCACCATTCACCACACGGCTGGTGTCGGGCCTGTAGCTGGGCACRCCACACGCAGACACTTAACACAATGTGGGACAAAATAAGCCAAGAATAAAAAAATGAAATACCCAAAGTGTAACAAGATGTTGTCTCAGTCAAGACCATCAGCTCACATTATTTTATTTTGAACTTACCAGTTGTGACAACCAGCAGAAAAAAACGTACCACTTTCATCTCTTGCTTGTCCAAAAGAACTGAATTATCTTGAAGGTCTATTTGTGGGGAAATGTTCAAACTGAACCAGACAGAGCCTGGGAGTTTCCCTTCTCTTCTCCAGGTGGCAGAAGCAGTGTGTACATTTAGTGCATACCATGTTCAGCTTAATTTGTTCTTTTAATGTACGACAGTATATTCATTTTTTGTTTTGTTTTGTTTTTATTTGTTCTGTCTTGGAAAAAATAAATTAAAAAATAAAATTTCTGTAAATATTATTATATATTAGTATTAGTTCCATCACAGTTCCTAGTGTTGCAAATAGTTCTTCTTCATATTCATTGAAAAATAGTCACTCAGAGAGTAGACCAGACCTTTTCATAGAAAGTCAATAGGATTCAAGCAATGGGTTTAGTAACTTTATATGGATACCATCTCATGTAGGAATAAAGGGAAATGAGTTGGCAGACAAGTGTGCAAAACAAGCAACAAAAACAGTCGAGTTGATATTATGATACAGCGGGTAAAATAAGTATTGAACACGTCACCATTTTTCTCAGTAAATACAGTATATTACTAGAGGTATAATGACATGAAATTTTC